CTAAACACAATTTAATTTTTCACGACATCTCCATCCATTTTGCCACAACATTCTCATTTGTAAATATCATTAGCTATACTTAGTTACTTTAGAATAGTGCATAAACTTTACTCAAGAACTCTCCAATCCCTGTGGATACGATACTCACTCACACTGTATTACTTGTTCGATTGTGTATACTTGCATATATTTCCGCATCCATATATAGTACTCACAATTCGCGGACATACGCTGAGGGGTATTTTCGTAGCAACAGTTTGAAAAATGAAGGGCTGCAGTTGACATTGAGTAGTATTTCCATAGCAATAGTTTGTCAGGTTCCGTGCTAGAGATACTCTTGGAACACTTTAGTAAATCCTGTCGGGGAACATAGGCTTAGCATACTAGATAATCCTAAACATAGATTAATTTCTTGTCGTAGCAAATCCAATACAAATGCTTCGTTAGAAGTCTGATTGTGTGAGGTTGACAGCCTATTTCCAGAGTTTTGACAATTTTAGCCTTATCAACTTTTATTAGTTACTATTGCATATTTTTCTTGCCACGACAAAATGTATCTTCTTACTTCACTTCACACTTTTCTTGTCTCGGCAAATTTTTTTCCATCTGTTCATACCATTTGCCACTGCATATTTTCCTTGTTTATATCATTAGACTTAGATACTTAGGATTAGTTAGTGACACATATTCCTAGTTGTAACAATCTTTTAAAATCTCCTCCAATCCCTGTGGAGACGATACTCACTCACTACTATATTACTTACATCGATTGTGTATACTTGCACATGTTTACATGCCATAACACTATATATTTACATGCGATCACATTCGCTTCTAAAAAATTCTCTTGATAATTGCTATATCTCTGGTTCACCCATGAACTACTTGTGTTTCCTTCTTGTTGATATGTGTATAAAACTTGAATTTGAGCGTTTTATTTCTATGTTGCTCAAACTCGGGTCCAAGTGTCTTATACTGGTAGAGATATGTCTGTCAAAATTTTCCAAGTTTTCTTTGTATTTGAACAATCCTTTGAGGTTTCGTACTCCTATACTCGTATGCCGGACACGTATGCTTTAAGAAAAATGAAGAGTTGAAACTTGGTCTTATTTTAGTGGTTCTTGTGGTTATAGCAATCATGGTGGAACTTGCAGCAACCTTGAAGGTTCAATGGCTCCACAACCATTAGTTTTATGTGTTATAACAATCATGTCTGTTTTATATGATTTAAAATAAATTATTACAATGCTAGAAAAGGGTGATTGAAATTGGGACTCTGATCTTAGTTAACTTATTTTGCTTCGTATGTGTTTAGGTCAAAATTGTAAGAGCTTGTCGAGCTCTTGGTTTGGGTCCCGGAGGTTTCTATCAATCAGGCTACCGTGATGGAGCGAAGTGCGAAGTTGTATTTGAAAATGATGTGCCTTGGTAAAAACTGGGATCCGGAGACGGGCAATTACGGAGATCATCGGCCAATTGACAGCGTTGTTCCCCCCCCCCCCGGCCCCCCCAGGCCCCCCCAGGCGGTATTTCTCGCGAATTCTATCATTTGGTTGGAAAGGCAATAAAAGATTCGCATCCCTTATACAACAGAAGACTAAGGATAGCCTTGCAGAAGACATTCTCCCATGGATGTCCCCGAATATCTGCATTGTTAATTTCTACTCTGCAAGTGGTCGACTGGGACTTCATCAGTTTCAACGTTTTAAGTTTTAACCCCTCTTAGCTTATATCCTATCTGCGTACCACTGAAAACTTGGGTCGGGTTGTTCGCAGGATAAGGATGAAAGTCCAGGAAGTCTACGTAAAGCATTACCTGTGGTGTCCTTTTCTATTGGAGATGCAGCAGAATTTCTATATGGCGACGAAAGGGAAGTCGACAAGGCGAAAAAAGTTGAATTTGAATTTGGGGATGTGCTTGAATCTGCAATTAAGCAAAAAACTGCACCTGGAAAGTCTTTTGGAGGAAGCAAATCTTCGTCCAGGTCGTCTAAATCTGACTTTTAGAGAGTACTAAAATCCTAGACAAATAGTAATTCTAGATACAAGCTTTTGGCTTGACTGACAGTGCTTGTTGAATTGCATTTCCTGCTTCGAATGCCAAAGTCGACGGTTTTACGAGTTCAAAACTTAATTCCATAACACTTCTTGATGGCTAACCCTAGAAGTAGAGTTCTTCCTAATCTCATAGACTGTTGATGATTTGCCATGTCTTGCCATAGGTTCTTCATTTGCATTGCAATCACCATTTCTCCTCCTGCTCTTTCACCCCTATAAAATCCCTTGTAATTACTCACATTCTCATTGCCTACAAATACCTTTGACTGTATTCCACCCGTCTCGAATCCGTCCTGAATTTTTAAGTAAAAACTCACTCCGACTCTGTCTTGACATCGACTCCTTAACAAACTCACCCCAATCTGTCCTAAACCCGAACTAAAAAAATCAACCATTGGGTTGAAATGAAACCTGTCTGATTCGAATATTTTGGCCATATCTAATTGGGCATCTAGTCACTAACAAAACACATGTAGGTTCACGCACTATGTTAACAAAGAAAACCATGATAACTACACTTTAAAAAACAAACTACCAATTCCAATACAAATCTAGTGTCTTTACTCATTACATACAAATAAGCACATATAATCTAACCCCACTAATCAAATTCCAAACCTACTGGAACTCAATTAGTACAATCACTATTGTTATCATTGTTGTTATTACTATTATTAACTTTACTATGATGATTACCAGAGTTGTTGATTCCAGCACCTTTTTCCCCTTGCTTCAACTGTGAAATCTCCAGCTGAGTCTTCATGAAAAGCTGCATCCTCTGCAACTCCATCTCCTTGGCGAATTTCATCCTCTGCTTCTCCATCTCCACCATTTGCTGAAGCTTCGCGGCCTCCGCTTGCTCGTACGCTTCACCAAACCGTAACATCGCCTGATTTATTTCCCTAACTGAGTTACCCCATTTTCTTCTTTTTTCACCTGAATTGGCACGCTTGTTAACCACTCCTCTTGCCCTTTTTCCTGTCTGAGGTGGAGGTAAACTATCAACCGAATCCAAATCGTCATCCTCCTCGTCGTCCTCGGAATCCATGTCCACCGGACCCTGTTTCCTCTGATTCTTCAATACAACCATTCTCGGTTGCTTTTGTTGTTGGAAATGTTGTTGATGTTGTCGTCTTTCTTTAACTCGAGAAACTCGATATGGATTCAAACTAGACCGGATCCCGACCGGAATCCCCATTGGTACTTTAGACAAAAAGTCAGCACTTCCACCGCCACCGAAGGAAGCCGAATTAGCAGGAATCTTGGCGGAGGATCCTATAAGTTGATCCAATTTCTCAAAAAACATCCACTTACTCAGCCCGCCTCCGGCAGCAACCTTAGCTTTCTCCGACTTATACTTCTTCTTAACCGTATCGATTCGATTCTTACACTGAATATCCGTCTTCGGAGTTTTCGTATACTCCTCTCTGCTACTCACAATATCCGCCACTTCTTTCCAATGCATTTGCTTCAAGTTCCCTCGGCTCAGTTCCAAATACCTCTCTCCCCACGCATCAATCAAAACCTCCGTGGCGCCTTCGCTCCAGTAGTCCTCCCTTCCACCGCCGTTGCACTTCGGCTTCTGCGGCGGCGGGAGCGGCGGCACTATCGCCCTCTCGTGTTGAACCGGCTCTTCCGGAGGAGGCGCGGCAGCCACCGTCACGGTTACACGACTATTGGACGGCGAAGACGGCGATGGAGATCCGGTAGCAGCAACCGATGGGTACGATTGGATCTCTTCGCCTTCCTCCATTGTAGATCCGAAAAAATAGATGATTTCAGAAAGGGGGAATTTAGGGTTTCGACAAGAAACAAAATATAGGGAATTTTTTGCTTTAATTTGTTTTTTATTATCGGTGAACGGGAGGGGAGGTGACGGCGTCGGTGAAGGAGCCATTGCAAATGGGACACGTGTAGAAAGTAGGGTGACGTGGAAGGATACGATTGGTGGGGATGTGGAGATTCCGTCACCGGCTTTAATTTTCGGTAATATCGGTCTTATTTTAAGCGTTCATTTGCCGATGGTGTACCGAAACTACCCTTCCTTTGCCGATAATATTTTAAGCGTTCTTTGTTTTTAATGGAGAAAAACAATTTATAATTGGATCCATATTCATAAGAAGTATGCCATTTAAGTACAAAAATTGTACCTTAGGCTATTTACAATTTTATTAACGTACAAATAATTTTATTGATTAAAGAAAATATTATTTTCTTCGAACACTTATGAAACACATGCATGTTATCAATAACCAAGAAATATTATAAATAAATATTATCTCATAATCATCCTAAACTATTAAAAAAATATGAATCTAAGACAAAAAGGCATAAGAGGTCTATGCACTTTTGGGGGGAAAATAATGTGATCATCATATTAATTTTTCTCTCAATTCAACTATTCAACTCAGAAAATAAACCTAACGTGATCCTTTGACTAATATTTTTTCTTCGTTGACCGTCACGGCACTGATATGACAATTTACAATGTTCACATGACAATTTACGATGTTAATGTGATAAACCAAGGTGACAGATGACATGACAGATTTACTAAATTGGTAACTCAAACATGACAAATGAACTGTCACGTCTTCATCGTGGACCATCACATTAACACCATAAACTGACACGCCAATACTATAACGGTCAACAACAACAAAACGTTTGTAAAAGGCCACATTAAATTTATTTTCTAAGTTCAAGGATCACATTGAGAGAAAAAATAATACAATTGATTATTTTCCCCAAATGTACAAATACCACTTATGCCTTTTTTTTCAAAAATATAACTACTTTTTATCTAAAAAATTTCAACCAAATTACTTGAACTGGCTCGAATCAGGACGATTTAAACGGTTTCAAAATTTTCAAATTGTATATAATGATGTATTTGATGCATGAACTTTAAGTTTTATGCATGTGATGCAAATCAAGTGATCAATCATCAGAAACACAGATCTCACTCGCTACATAAGCAGTCTCCATATAGTTCTAAACAGTAAAAAGTGGCGACCTTCCTCGGCGAATCGGCACTACAGATAGAGTTGAATGAGCTCGTCGCTAACAACAGAAGGAGTGAGAACACCCAAATCTGTGAAGAGTAGAGTAAGATATAGAGGAGGGGTGTAATCTCGAGCGGATTTTTCGACCTCGACCTTGGATGGGATAGGTACCCCGAAATCAATGGTACGTAAGGCAGGACCCACATCCTTTTGATCCAACGGATAAAGACGGGCGAACTGCAAAAAAAAATCATATTAGTGACCCATATCCTTTTGGTCCAACAGTCCAACGATAAAGACGGGCGAACTGCAAAGAAAAACATCATATACTAATAAAAAACCGTCGACTTCTCGATACAAGTTCTTTATTATGTGCCTATACCATAATTTCCTAGTTCAGATGCTTTTGAAGAAATGAGAAAAAAAAAATGAAGCCTTGATCACCTTGTAGCTTTCGGCAGCCACGTAAACGGGTTTGTTCATGCTATGTGACACCAATGCAATCTGATATGTTCCCATCATATTAATGATACCCCCGCTTTCCACAATTGCATCAGCCCCGACAAGTACCATGTCCACCTCGTCCATCGTATATGCCACCGCCGAGTCTATTAGAAGCTTTACGGGGACATCAAGCTTTGCCAGCTCGTTAGATAAGCGTAACCCTGTTCTGTCGGGCCTTCCTTCTGTATTGAAAGCATGGTTAAAAGGTGTCATAAACTCATAATAAACATATGCAAAATATGACACGACTCCTTTTAGGATGACAGCAGCACATTTGACTTAGTCCTGAGGAACGTAGAAAGCCGAACCTGTACAGAAAACTCGAAAGTGTTTCTTGTTTTGTGCCGCTGTCCTCAATACTTCAAGGACAACTCTGGAAAATCCATGTACCAAAATGGTACAACCATCGAATATGAAATCTTGACATAGCATTGCAATAATCCTGCGTGCCTGCAATGTTCGGCAATACTGTCTTCAGGACAAGAATGAAGTATAACTGAAGTGAAATCATAAAAAGTAATTATAACCCGAAATACCTTACAAGATATTTCCCCAAACTTCTCTGCACGTTCTATCAACCGAGACCTAGCTGAATTGAAGTCCTCATACTCTAAAGCTGATGTTCGAGTCACATATCGAATGAAGAGATCACAACCTGCTGTCAAAGAGATCGAGGTTGTGTCCCATGCCTGGAAAGCAAACATCAGGTTAACAGTGATGCAAACAAAGACTAAATTAAACCCTCAAACTGAATGAACTGGGATAACTTCTGCACGGTACCCTCTAATTTCCACATCTTCCACATCTCGGAAACATGATTACTCACCCAAAGTAATCGAAAAAAGACATGTCTAAATTCCAACCAAATTCACACCTGATGAATCAAACTTTAGAGCCTCAACATTTTGATTATGAAAAAATCTTATTAGTTCAAATTTTATAGAACAGCACGATATTGTGTAGTAAAAATTAAAGGAGGGTATATCTGATACACATTCCAGAGCACCATACACCATAAAGATAACTTGTTTGGCAGCGGATGTGGACAAAGCACACTCGTATATTTATTATGCCACCAAATCTTTTCCGCAACACTATTTTATCATCTTGCAATGCATCTAATAAGTCATTCTTTAACTGTTTACAATATTTCTCTTAAATATACAAATGCAAAACATCTAGAAGTAACATAAAAGGATTGCTTTCGGGCACCGTTACTTATGAGAGTTACATTGACAGTCTTTTCACTGAAAATCATCATAAAACATATCACCAATGGTTTAAAATACCGGACACCTAATAATGAGAATGGCTTCATTTCAATAAACCTAAGCAATTATAATATACTTCCTTAACTAAGGTTCCAATACCACTCATAATGTCAATTGGAAACTTGAAAACTTAAACAAAAAAGAAAGAAAGATAAATACAATGCAGTATACTAGGCCTTTACAATCATACATGATTAGCATTTAATCAGTGCTGTGTCCTACATAGCAATATGGTAAATATTATACATAGGAAACTAGGGAAAAGAAGCACATATTTTGCCTTTACATAACAAAGATGAGTGATAATTTTCACCCAAATTTTATACACAATTACATGGATATCATCATCAAAACTCTCATATGTCTTAGCTTGCATATGATTCAAGAGATTAGCTTAAACTTTGACAATCCGATTCTTCATTTTTCCTAAAGTACATATGTAAACACATTCTTGGACATGAGGATGGAGATGGGATTATCTAAAAGACTCTCCACTAACATGAACCTTGGAAAATTTTGAGCCTACCCATGTCGGACAATTACATGGATATCCTCATCAAAACTCTCATATGTCTTAGCTTGTATAAGATTCAAGCGAGTAGAACTTTGATAATTTGATTCTTCATTTTTCCTGAAGTGCATATGTAAACACATTCTTGGACAAGAGGATGGAGATGAGATTCTCTACAAGACCCTCCACGTATACAAAAACCCTGGAAAATTTTGAGCCTAAACATGTCCGACACTTACTCTCGAAACCCAGAAACATAGCATAGCACTTAAATACATACATATGATTCTATACATTTTAGTATTTCACTAAGTTTGACAGTATACTTTATCAGTCATCATCAAAACAATGAAAAGTGATTAACTAATAAAGAAATTTTCAGATAAATAAAAAATAAAGGACTCACTTTGAGCGAATCAGAAGCCTTTTTTAGCTCAATTTCAAGCTCCATCATGGTGGTAGCTTGGCTAGCCTTAATAACCGCCGCGAGGGCGCGAATGGCCGCCACTGCCTCCGCCAAATCCGGCTGCTTCCTCCAGCTATTGAACTCATCAATAACACTAAACGCCTTATCGCCTCCTCTACCTCCAGCGGCCGGGGCGATCTTCCCATCAATTACCGACGAGTCGTCGTCGTCGGTTTGGATGCTGACGGCGGCATGAGCCTGGGCGAGCCAATCGCTCGTGACGACGGCGTGGTGCGCGGCGCGGGTTTGGTAATAAGCGGAAATGTCGGGTTTAGGGTTTTGGAGAGAATCCGCCATGGAAGGAGGAGGAGACGAGAGCAAGAGCGATTCGGGATTGGGTGGAACGGCGGCGTTTTGTTCTTGCTGTCTGTCGAGAATGAAAGAAGCAGATCTCCACCACATTTAACAATGTTTTTCCTTTCCTCTTTGTGCTACGAGGGTCACTTTCTCGGGAAAATTTGAAGGAAAGTGGATGGATCAACGAGAGAGATTCTGGGTTATTTTTGTGTGTTTAGGAAGGATAATTAACTAGGGGATTGGGATTATGAACAGATAAATTAATAAATAGGATAAACTACGTGTTTAGTAAATAAACTATTAGTTTTTATCCATTTTAGAACCTATATTTTCAAAATTTTCAAAATAATACCTAAAATTTAGTTTTTATTTCATTTTAGTATCCCGTCGTTAAAAATTTAACGTTAATTTTTGAAAATATTGAAATTTTATGTACTAAAATGGATCAAAATTGTGTTAATTTTTTAACTGTGAGTATTAAAATGAAATAAAAACTAAATATTAGGTATAATTTAAAAAAATTAAAAATTTAAGTACTAAAACATATCAAAACTGACAGTTTAGTTACTAAATACATATTTTACCCTAATAAATAAAAGGTTTTTATTTAGCCCTAAAGTATGCGCGTGGTTTTCATTTTAACCCTTAATTTTTTTAGTTTCTTTATTTAAGTGACATCTAGAAGTCAAGTTAAAATAAATTATATTTTAGAAACAAAGCTAAAAAAGAATAAAATATATAAATTAAATAACTTAGATTTTTGAGGAATTTCAGAATGTTTTGAACATAATATTGTTGCACTTTTTATTTGATTTTTAAATTAATTTCTTCATCATCTTTTCAATCATAATTTGTAGTTAAATTAAAAAGTTTCAAAAATCAACATTTGTTTTTAAATATTCAAATTTTAATATATATTTTTTTAAAAACGAGGCTTATTAAAAACTTCTTCTAAGACTTATAAGGGAAAAAGAGTGGCCTAAGACCTCCTAGTACCATAATAAAAATCATTGGATACAACAAACGTAATAATCTTGAGATAAATCAAGTCAAAATATAAGGTATTTTCAGAACGGAGAGCCCACTTAATCGAAGTATATGTCACAATATTACAAGCTCTAAGAATAAAACACACTTTATAATTTAGATTAGCATCCAAATATATTACAAGCTTTTCGAAAATGATAACCTAATATGGACAAATCCTCCTCCGGTCGGGACATCTTGTTGACCACAAACGTTGGATTCGATTCAAAGATTACATGCGTCTATCAATGCTCACTTACTAAAGAAAATATTACATGCAGAGCATGAATCTATGAAAAAATTTAACTTCGACACAACCTAATAATAATGTAACCATACCGACAAGTACCTGGTCAGCAGCATCTCGGGAAACAAACCCCGAGCTGCGAGATCCTAATAGACTCAAAAACACCATCCGGATCCATCTTCACGTGATACTTTTTTGCCGAATTGAATCAAAACTTCATTCTAGTTTACTCATATTCTTTAATACTTCTTTTACTATTCCACTTGTTGAAAAAGAAGATGTAGATAAAAAAAAGAACGTGAGAAAAAATTAATATGCAGTTTTTTGAACTACTCTCATATTGACCCTTAAAAAACTCAATATTCGACTAAAAAGATCATGTAATGTGGACAAAAAGGTATCAAATATTCCGATAATTTTGAAAAAGAAACTCAATGTGGCATTGTAGACACATGATTTGCGTCCTTATAATGTTTATATTATATATATATATAATATTATTAATTTCGTTTTTTTTTACATTTACAGGCCTGAACATGCGACCTAACAGTGAACCAAGCCCAGTTCAACAGCCCGTGAGGAACCTTAACCCTGGCAATGTTCTGTTCTGCGCCGCAAGCTCCCTCGCCTCCCTTTCCGAGTTTCACGGCCACCCGTCTCACATCCTCCACAACTCCGATTCCTCCGGCGCAAGGATTTCATGGAGATAACAAGCTAACAAACAGTGGAGTTAGAGTTCTAATAGGGGTCAAACACTAAGATCTTAGGCTATAAAAACCCATATAAATCAAACACAAAAAGAGGGGGGGAGGGGGCTCGACACCTCAACATTGCTAAAAACCGACTTTTATCCCCTCTTTTGGAACCCATCTTGGCTTTTTCACTTTCCCGTTTATTCATCTTTCATTGTTGGTTGATTTGTTTTGGGATCTTTGGATGTTCTGTTAACCTGGGTATTTGTTCTTGTTGCAGATGATGTACGCAAAGAAGTGGGATGTGGAAAAGGAAAATGCAAGCCTTCTTCAAACGAAACACTCCCTTATTATATCTATGAATGTGATGCTGGCTAAGATGATGATTATCCCAAGTTCCTCCCTTGCATTTTTTCTCAACTGACATGTGGATTTCAAGATAAACAAAGCTATGGTACAGCTCAGCAAGACGAGACCTCCGATTCCAAATCCGATAAACAAGTTGATTGCATATCAGAAGATGAAAACAAGAAAACACATACTAAATAATAAGGATCTGAGATGGCGTGTAAAATGGTATTGCGTTCCATCTCCGTGACGGAGGTGTGGAGCCCTCTGCGGAGGAGCTGGAATTTCCTTTCATTGAGGAGCTTGGCCGCTGTTAAGAGAGGGAGCGACGACATTTATGGGACGTTGGTCGTTAGGGTTCGAGACTTTCATTTTTGGAACAGGATTCCGAAACTGCGTTGCTCTCGGAATGAAACACCGTCTTCCAAATTCGAGGAGGAGGAACTTGACCAAGGGTTGCCTCAGGAAGTCGTTCTCAAATCAATTTCAGAGGTATCAAAGAAAGGAGAATTAAGCCAAATTGAATTTTGGCTTTCATAAAACACGTGCAGTGCACTGGTTGCATTTTCAAAGGGATAACCTGTTGGTCTTGGAAGGTTAGGGCCAAATTGTTGTTTTAGTCCTTCCAGGTTTGGATAAATTTCATTTGTTTGCTTAAAGTCATTTTTCATTGTGATTTGGTCCCCTAACTTTTTTTTATTTTTTCTTTTGCAGTTCATTTTTTTAATACCAAGTTAATCTATCAATTTTAATTTATTTCAATTTAGTTATTCATTTTTTTCCTTTTTAATTTTAGTATTTTTTATTTTAGTTATTCATTTTTTTTCTCTTTTAATTTTAGTGTATTTTATTTATTTATTTGTCTTTTCTTATTTTTATTTTATTACCTTTAAAATCTATCATTCTTTACATTTTAGGGATATTTTTAATCGATCAAAGGTAATTATTCGAATTGATTTGTTTTTTAAAAAAAAATTAATTTTAATTTAAATTTTCGCAACTAAGACAACCGGCATATTAATTGGTACCGAAAGGGCGGTTCAAGGGTGCTAATCCTTCCTTGACCGTAACCGACTCCCGAACCCGACATATTTCTGGTAAAAACGCAGATCAGGTAAGATGGTATTCGATCCACCTAAATGGTTTTAAAGTGATCGGTGGCGACTCTAACCTATTATTTCAAGTTGAAGCCCAATTTCGGGGCCCAACCGAAAGACGATTACGACAGGCATTCGTGTAATTTTCTTTATCAATGTAGTCTTTCAACTCAGAAAATAAATTTAACGTGATCTTTTGTCTAATATTTTTCATCGTTTGATCGTTACGGTGCTAACGTAACAGTCTATCTGTGGTGTTTGAGTTACCAATTTAGCTCATATGTCATGTTATCTGTCACGTTATCAACAACTGTGAATTATCAAGTCAACACTTTAGACCACCACATCAACACCATAAATTGTCACGTCAGCATCATAACGGTCAACAACGAAAAACGTTGATCAAAGAATCACATTGAGGTCACATTAAGTTTTTTTTAAAAGTACGAAGAACTCTATAACTTTATGCCAATAATACTTTTAATTATATTAGACGGAATGGGTCAAATGGCCAAAATCGTTGATGAATCGAAACTTTAAGGGTAGCATTTGACAAAAAAAATGTAAGAGCTAAAATGAGAATCCATACCTACTTTAGGGGCCAAAATGTATATTAAACCTAAATTGTATATTCTTTTCAGTCCTAGGCAATATCCCACGTTCTCTAACAAAATTTTCAAACTTTGAACCTTTCAAAACAAGCTTCAAAAGTGTTTGCTTTTCCTCTTCAGAATAAAATAAATAAAAAAGTTATTGCTCTTCTTCTTCATCTTTGCATAACAAAATGCTTCGATTTTACTCATAAATAGAACCCATTTTCCTTTTCGTTGTAAAAGTGTTGAATTCTTTGTAAAAAAGAAATCTTTTATCTTTTGTTGTTTATTGTTCTTAGTTTTTTTATACACAGACACCTTTGATTCCATGATTTTTAATACCCATTTGTACCCAGAATGAATTGATATTTTTCTTTTCTCTTTGACATTTTATCATACATTATGAGGGCAAGACTTGTGGTGTTTCCTATTAGAGGCAAAATCTGGTGTTTTAGCCGATCCATTGATCAATCTGCATCACAATTCAATTCTACTAACACTCCTTCCACTGTCAAAGACCTCTGGAAGAAGATTTCATCCAATCCCAACCCAATCAATGCCAATGCTGAGCTTCTTGTTGATTTCATTTCAGACAAGGTTTATATGTGTGTGTGTGTCTATATATATATATATAATTTTCATGGTCCTTTTTAATTTTCAATGTGCATTTGAGTATGCTTTGAGCCCTTTCTTGTTTTTTGTTTTTTCTTTAACATAGATGAATAATGCATGGGCTGGTCTGGAAAAAGCACCTGAGGGCAGTTTCAAGAACAAGCTCCATGGGTATTAGCTGAAAATCAAATATGATTGGTTTGATTTACTGGGTTTTTTGGCCTTAGTTCATGTTGATTGTGTTTCATAGGATTGGATTACAGCTTTTAGCTCGAATTAATAGTTTATGTTGATTGTGTTTCATAGGATTGGATTACAGCTTTTAGCTCGAGTTAAGCCGTCAGAGATTCTATTGAAATCTATAACCAAAGAGGTTACTAATGTTCGGATTGCATACCCCTCCAGGTTATTTGTTTTCCTCTTTTCTCAATTGTTAAAAATATAGTTATAATCTCTATATCGGTGTCGGACACGGGTGTTTTAAGGAAATGAATGATCACAGCTCGTTGGCATATTCGAATGAGCAATGGAGAAGGATATGTATCCTTCTATGATTTGTCCCTATGTTGAAATTTACATGGAATTTGGATTCTTCAATGAGAAACTAACACTAAATACACTTGTGGTTGAGAGTATCGGATTTTGGTTTTCTAGTGTCCGGCACTTTGGATAATTTCTGGTTTGTTCCTAATGCTTCTAACACTTTTCAGTTTTAATGCACGGCTTGTGCGGCGAAGATTACGACAGATAGCCTTGAGGTAATTGTTCTACACTGTTCTTTCTATGTGCTTTACTGATATGGAGGAAATTAGAATACATGAAAATGTGGTGGACAAAGCTTGGTTGTTTTCTAGGTTCATTTATTTTCCAAAATGAACATGGGAATAGCGGAAAAGGTCGATTAACTTGGTTTATGGCTTTCCGGGGAAACCACTTCTGGGTTACCGGGAATTCCCTTCTGCTTGAATCCTGATGAATATGGATGTCTAGAATCTCTATACAGTTTTTGCCTCAATGGACGGTTTATTGATTTCTGGATATTTTAATCTCCAACAATCCAAAAAAGAAAGGGATTTTGGAGATTTGGTGTTGTTTTATATGTGTATATTGTTTGAATTCCTACGAGCTATGTAGCTCCGACTCTTCGCTTTTCTTGAAGTACGTATGTTTGACACATTTTCAAGCATGGGTATGGGGATATGCCCCTCGAACAACCTTCCAAAAACATTGGAAACTTAGAAATAATTTTTCTGACATTCGTGCCCTAGTTCGAGTAACATAATATGCACGCAAGGTACATTATTTCTAACCAAAGCGTTCTCTGATTTTTCAGGGGTACTGTTATACACAGGAAATACTTTTATGGTTCGGTTACGTTGCTTCCATTGACTACTACACTTGCTGTACGTATGTGGATACTTTTGTTGCTCCATTGTTTACGGATTAACCATTTTGAACTTTCCTTTGTCATTTTGATTTTGTCTCACATTCTCTGTTAAATCTTCTTGCTCACCAGGTTCTACCTCTGCCTAACATCCCATTCTTTTGGGTTCTGTTTCGCTCATATTCACATTGGCGAGCTCTCCAGGTGGGATTTCTTGTTCCTGAAGATACTTTCGGATACTTTAGAAGACACCGTAGTGGGATTTTTTATTGCTCCTAGTATTTGAATCGAACAGTTCACTGTAACCTATGTCAGCCATCATATCACAAGATCAGCTTTAGCTGCCTGAGTCCTGTTATTCCAACTCTTCTGTTTTCCTTGAAGTAACTATGTCCTTAATGCATTTCTAGATACGAGTATCGAAATATAACCCTTAAACACATGAAACACTTGGAAAAAAGTTGAATATACCCATATTAGTCCCTCAAAGACGAGTCCAGGTAATGTAGTGCCTAACTTGAGTCGTATATGCAACCATAACCTGCTTTGAACATGTTTAGTTATACATAACACTGCTTTTTCTCATGTTCCTTCCTGCTGCTTTCGTTCCCCTTCTATAAACATGTCCAGAAAGTGCGTTGATTTCTGAATTGCTCTCTACTTCTCATATAAGCTCGTCAAACTTGTTTTTTATTCTTCAAGAGTGGTAGAAGATCCAGTTCCATATCTACGTGAACGAGGAAATAAAGGAACTAAAATGCCTCGTTCTAGGTATATTGTTAAGGTTGGTAGTTGGTACCTTAGTTTTCAGTGTCAGACTCGATTGTAATCACTGTTTTTCAACCTTCCACTTAATACAATCCATCGGTACAAAGTAAAACTGCACGCTCACCGTTTCTTTGTTTATGTCGACGTTGCAGGGAAGCGAGAAGCTTCTTCAATTAGTCACGGATACTTCCCGAGCTCAACAATGCTCTTCCGAGGTTTCCGTATACTATTCTATGCTCTTATCTTCTTCGTTTTTCTATTCCGGTTTTTAATTTCTCAACCATTTCTCATTTGCAAGACCTCGTAATTATATTCATTTCGATCGATTCTCTAGCGGAGCATGGATTCCGGCGATAACACGGCCTTGTAATTTTCTTAATAATTAGGTGTTGGAGCCGTCGAAGGAGTTGGAGGAGCTTGTTCGGAGTGGACATGATGACAATGGTAGTGTTAATGAAAAGGCTATTTCAGATATATGCATCAAGTTTAGGTTGAATAAGAATGATGTTCTGAAGTGGAGAGATTTGATGTAATTTTCCCATTTTTTTTTTGTCATCAATTTCGGATATTTTCTTTGATTGCATTTATATTCTCCTTTTGCCAATTAAATTTTGCTATTTGCGAACAAGCCGAACGACATAGATATTAAAGTTAAAATATGAGGAAACAATTTGGGGGTAAACTACAAATTTCGTCACTCGGTTACTATATTCTTATTTGGATAAGCTACATGTTTATTATTTAAACTATCAATTTTGATATATCTTAATACTTAAATTTTCATTTAAATTCATTTATTATTTAAACTATCAATTTTGATATGTCTTAATACCTAAATTTTCATTTTTTAAAAAATTTAAGTTAAATTCTAACAGGGGTATTAAATTGAAATAAAAATTAAACTTTAGATATACTTTTAAAAAATTAAAAGTTTAAGTACTAAATGCGTAATTTACCCTTCTTATTTTAATCACTAAGCCTTAAAAATTTAATTTAACTAGTAAACTTTTGAACTGCAATCAAATATCTACTCTTTTAAAAAAATTACATATTAAAGTTATTTTTTAGTACTTAAACTATCAATTTTGATCAATTTTAGTACTTCAATTTTCAATTTGTTTTAAAAACATACCTAATGTTTAGTTTTCATTTCATTTTAGTACCCATCATTAAAAACTTAACGTTTAGTACTTAAATTATCAATTTTGATCCATTTTAGTATCTAAACTTTCTTTCTTTCAAAACTTAACGTTAAATCTTGAACGGGGTACTAAAATGATAAAAAAAACTAAAGTTTTCAACGTTGGGATACTAAAATGAGACAAAACTAAACTTTAGGTATGATTTTGAAAAAAAATTAAAAATTTAGATACTAAAATAAACCAAAACTAATGATTTTAAATGCATTATCATAAATGCAAGAGGTCTCACCAGAGTCTGGGTTAATTGTAAACCATGTATTTAGGTGTTGCACTGAACTTCTGGCATCCCTTGATGACTTTGTTTACTGCGTCGAGGAAATCTTTTTCCGTCACCGTTTTTCTTCGAGCTCGAATCGCGTACATTCCGGCCTCGGTGCATACGCTCCTTATATCGGCTCCTGTGAGTAAGTAAGCATAAAATCTCAAAATCACTCTCATACGTGGAACAATATTCAGAACAAGATTAACTTTGGAAGCAAGATTCTACCGGTGGAATAATTCAATGTCGGGCCAAAAGCTCAAATCTAATATCGCGCTCGCAATTCATTGTTCTTGTGTGAATCTTGAATATCTGTGTCCGGCTCTCTAAATCGGGAAGACCAAACTCGACTTTACGATCCAGTCGTCCGGGACGTAATAACGCAGGGTCTAGTGTGTCTGGCCTGAAAAGTGCACAATTGCTGTAAGCATCTCCTGTGCACATTGAAATCTCTTGTGGAGTTAAACCGGAAAAAAAAACCTTCCATGGACGTTAAGTTCGGGTCGGGATGGCTTGAGGGAACAAGAGGTAATGCAATGCTTCTTTGAACAGAACCAAATATAAAGAGTTAAAATTGTTGAAAGCAACTATGACCTGTTCGTTGCCATCAGGACTTTGATGTTTCCACGAGCATCAAAGCCATCAAACTGGTTAACGATTTCACGCATGGTTCGCTGAACCTCATTGTCTCCAGCCACACCATCATCGAAACGTGCACCTCCAATGGCATCAACTTCATCAAAGAACACAATGCATGCTTTCTTTGATCGTGCCATCTGTGGTGTTTCAATAATGTCAGAATAGAAATAAGTAGGCATAGCATAGTTTCAAGAGAAAATTTAAGCTACTAAATTTAGCAGGTTATAACCTGAAACAGTTCTCGAACCATCCTAGCTCCTTCACCAACATATTTTTGAACAAGCTCGCTTCCAATAACACGAGTGAAGCAAGCATCAGTTCTGTTTGCAACAGCTCTTGCCAGAAGTGTTTTACCAGTTCCAGGAGGACCATAGCAAAGAACACCCTTAGGAGGATCGATCCCGAGCTTGACAAATTTCTCGGGATGAAGCATTGGTAGCTCAACAACCTAAATGAACAAAACTCATCAATTCATGGACGTCAAATCTCTAATACTAACTCGTTAAAAAAGCACAAATAATTCGAGAAAGGCTTCAGGTTTTCTGCGTGTGAGCAGGAACTTATTTAGCGAAGATGGTGCAATACGTACTTCCCGCATCTTTTCAATCTGCTCCTTACATCCACCTACGTCATTATATGTGACATCTGGCTTCTCCTCCACGGTCATCATGGTCACACTTGGGTCAATTTTTGGAGGCAAGGGAATTTGTATCTGATATTTGTTGCGATCAACCCTGCAAAGGAAGCAATTATAATTTGGTCTTGCTTGCAAGTATATGTCTACCTAAAAAATTTCTTAGGTTAAACGAAGGCATCAATACAACTGCAATGGGAGAAATAAACTATTTCAAGGAAATAAAACTCTATATATATATGCTGACGAAATTGAGAACTTACCCCACACGCATGCCTTCTTCAATGTCAGTGGGGGAAACTTTGTCACCCAAGCCAACAACAAACTGCAGTTAGAAACCATATGCATATCAGACAAAACTTCAGTGTCTGTTCTTCTTACAAAGAAACTATTTTTAACTACAAAAGACTTAGAGATGTAAAGATACATACCTTGGCTATTTGCTTCACATTGATAACATATTTGGCATCTCCTGTATTCGGATTAATTATTTTTGTGCGGCCTGGGTGAAAAATATAGTCAATACTCAATGACTCGAAAAAGCAATAAAAAGCAACATTTTTCTTCAAGCCATTTTAGTCAATACCTGAAGTGGTTGCTCCGCCTGCGTCATTTGCTTATCAGAGACGAGATCCCATTGGCTAGGCACAGCTAACCCAGTATCAGATTCCTTGATGCCTATTTAGCAAAGTTTACCGGCGGGAAAAATTTCAAGTTATTCGAGTTGACAAGTCCTATTTTACAACTCGGAGTTGATTTGAAATTTTTTTCGAGTCGAATTGAGTCAAGTCGATTTTTTGAGTTTCTGTTTAAATTTAATTGTAAATATTTATAATATTGTAATATTATTTGATTCCAATTTAAGTAACTTTGCATAACCATATATACAATACAAATATATTTCTTCATATTTTTTTCATATGTGATATACATAAATCATACAAAGTCCAAGGATTCTGCTCAAACTTGAAAATAAATCTACTAATTACTAAAAAATTTGAGTTATTCGAGTTGAACTTGAAATTTTACAACTCGACTTGAACTTGAAATTTTTTCGAGTCGAGTCGAGTTTTGCTCATCCCTACATGTGGTTCTCCTATTGGATTCGTCACCGGTCACTCTAACTTATTTTGTCACTCTAAAACATAAGCAACTCTAAAGTTAAATGACACAAATCAAGTGATCTTTGTGATAAAGAAATTATTGTTAAATGATGAAAGTGAAATTGTTTAAACTTAAGTGACCAAATGAAGATTTATATGATAGTAAGTGGTAAACATTGTAGTTTACCCTTTCTATTAATTTTCTTTTTTCTTTTTCCCCTCCTATTTTAATTCGTTTTATGTCAACTATAAAATGCCTTAAAAAAGAATAAGATAACCCTAAATTTTCAATTCTTTCTTAGCAGCCAGACCTTCAGGTTTCTCTCTCTCGTAAGTTCTTCTACCCATCTTCAATCTAGTGCCCTTCATCCTTCTTCTCTCCTTGGTTTTGGATCAAAATTATTCTATTTCATTTTTAATTAAGATTTGGGTAATTTGTTTATACAATTTGCTAGGCCTTTTCCGGTTAATTTTATTTATTCGAAAATCTCTCTAGACATTTGAGCAGGTTTTCTGAAAATAATTGTTTGGGTTAGTGTCGTATTTGCATTATTTTTGGAGTGAAATAAAGAAATTAATGGTGAAATTGCGATTATTGGACACCCAATGTTTCGAAATCTTAAAAGTTAGGGATTTACCTGCAATAATTTTGGGTGAATTTTGTTGAATGAGTTTCTCTTGAAATAAATTATATGATTGAAGTAATATATGGGTTTTAGATGAAGGAACTTGTTATTTAGGCTAAAGTATAGTAAGCAATCACCCTTTACACTAAATCTTGCTCTTTGGGAATCGGAAATATGTTATTTGAACTATTTGTTTGCTCTAAAATATCTTAGTATCTGTACTTGATATATATTTGGACCTGGATATCAATTTATCTTCCCAAATATAGTGAAAAGAAAACCAAGTTTTGGGTTATTTGTTTATACAATGTTGTAGGGTTTCTCAATTAATTTGATTTATGTGAAGATCTTAGACTTTTGTGCAGTTTTGTCTGAAAAAAAAAGAAAGAAAGAGAAAGACCTTTGAGTGAGTATCAATGGATCCGCAGCCTGAACCTGTTCACTACATCTGTGGAGGTTAGTATTGTATAACCTTTCGATATGTAACTAAGCTCTAAAATTTTGCCATTAATTTATGATTTTGACGTTATTTTTGGGTTATAAAGACTGTGGGCAGGAGAACACACTGAAGCATGGGGATGTGATACAATGTCGTGAGTGTGGTTACCGCATTCTTTACAAAAAGCGAACCCGAAGAAGTAATGCTCCTTTCTCCCTACTTTTTCCATTTTACTTTTGTTTCTATTCCTTATATTAATTTTTGTATTGATTTATTGTATTTCATGCTTATTTGTGGTGCTATCATGAATGCATTTAGGATGCATTAGAAAGGTCTTTTTTTTCACGATCAGGAATAGGATATAACAGTAGGCAGTTAGCGTTGAGAAAGAGAAACTTATGAATCGTAGTCTTCGCCTCTTCGGTTTCGGTTCAGTTTTACTAAATTCAGTTCTGTATCAGTTCAGTAGTACCTAAATCCTTTTGGTTTGATTTTCGGTTCATAAGATGATTAGGCTTGATCTGAATTAGAAAAAAATGATTTGGTTGTCTTGGGTTTTTAAAAACTTGAATGTAACTGCGTCCCTCCCCAAAATAAAAGAAAGAAAAAAAGAAAAGAAAACAACAAATAAACCGAATCGACTGTTATCACTCTACAGGAGTAATTTAAAACAAAATGTGATATGAGAACTTAAAATTATAGGATCTATAATATTCACATTCAACTGAAAAAAGAAAGAAGAAAAACACATCGAAATCATGGAACACTTGTCCTGAAAATAAACACATGTGCATATTCATATTGGCCAAGAAATCATTGTTTCATGGAGTCAATCTATTGGCGCAAACAACCAGCAAATTTAGAAACATCAAGATTGCATGTCGAAGATTATTAATTCATGGTCTTTGTTTGATGCTGGATTCTTTAAGAAGATAAATCTATCCTTTCATGCATAAGGACGTAATTGGTTTTATTTCGATTATAGTTTTACTATGCTCAATTCCGAATTTGGTGAGTTTGTGATTAGAAGCAGTCATTGAGTGTTATTTTGGATTGTTTAATGTTATCAAGGCTTTTGCTTTTACCTTAAGAATCATTTTGTGTTCAACAGTTTTCTATCTCGGATATGCAGTCTTGATAGTTCTTGAACAATTTCTGCAACTATGCTTTATTTTGAACTCTGAGATGGGGTGAAGCAAACTCAAATTCTAAACGAGTTGTTTCTCTTTTTTCTTTTATACTCCGTGTTATGCTACCATTATCGGATTGTCGGCTGATTAAATATCAAGTAGCAACCTTCACAATTCTACATTGATTCTCCATTTTCCGACGATTAATATTAAAACCCTTGTGTTTACCGCAGTTGTTCAGTATGAAGCTCGCTGAAAGTGGAGTTCGGAGATGGGGAGGGCATAAGCACTCATGCAGACGAGAAATAATCGGTTGTATTTTGTACATGTTTTGGATCATATTAAATGTTGTCTGGGAGATTAAGCTTGATCCATAGTTGCTTGCTTAGTACCGAAATGATGTCTATCGTGATTTAGAACATCGAACCCTTCTAAGAACCGTCTGTGGTTTATGTTTCTGCTACTGCATTTAGTGACTTCTGGTCAAATAGTGAACTTTAAATCCTTGTGCATTGTTTCCTTTAACCATTTTTCCCCCTGTACTACCCACCTTTGTTTTGCAGTTAGGTTAAGTATACACCTGACAAACTTGGTCCGAATTTGATTACCCGAGTGGATTTATCCGATTCTAGACTTATTATGAATCTGACGGCTCAAATTTGAAACGTAACTCATACACAATTTGACCTGAATTAATAAAAAAAACATCTTGAATTGAAATTAACTTGAATTAGAAGTAACTTGAATCGAAAATAACACGACTTAGAAGTAACTTAAATGAAATTCAAAAGGGAATTACCCAAATTGAAATCAATTCAATTGAAACTACACTGAAAGTAGTTTGAATTTAATTTTCACTTGTTTGATTTTAATCGTATTGATTGATTGAATTAAAATTTAATTTAGTTAATCCATTAAATAATTAGATGTTAGATCTATTAACAGTTGAGTTTTTTCAAAATTAGATTATAGATTAATTATTGGATATAATTAAAAAAGATTAAATATATATATAATCTAAATTTGTTAAGAATGCCATTTGCATGGAGAAAGAACCATTTGTAGGTAAATCATGTAGAGAACATGAAATCAGCAGGCCAATACCACATGGTTTTACTCTATAAATATGTAACCGTGATATTATTATTTTAAAGAGCTCACCGTTCTATTCATACGAGTTTCAAGATTATTAGTCTTTTAAAAACACTTGAGGTCTCTAAACTTCTTTTTTTTAAATAGAGGCCCTCATCTTATTTTTTTTGGACTAATGTCACATTTCAACTCGAAAAAAGAATTTAATGTTTATGTCATTGGCCAACGGTTCGTTGATTTCTGTTGTTATACATTGGATGAATTATATCATTCATCACTCAACTATTTTCTTCTCTTCTATTTTGGTCACTAAACTCTAAAAGTTTTTAAATTAAAAAAATTTAGAACCTTCATGGACTAAGACTATAGTGAACCCATTTTATTTTAAGGGTAAACTACACAAATGACTCCTTTTATTTAAGGGATAAATTACTAATCATGAGGCTTTTTGTAAACCCAAAATAGTTTGGGATAAAATAACAATTTACCCCTTTTTTATATGTTTTATTCCTCAAACTTATCTTCTCGCCGTGCGCCTTCTTCTGCTTCATCTGGAGCATTGATGAACTCAATTGGGGTTGTAATCTCGAACTTGAATTGGATAAAAAGATGACTTCTGCATAAACTTTACAAACACTTCCAGATATCTCACTTCCAAATGCAATCTTAATTGAGGTTTTGACTTCAGGACTGCATTTGGAAGTGAGATGTCTGGAGGTGTTAAGACGAAGTGACTCGTGAAATTTGAGACTGAGCGATCATAATATATGACAGCCGACAGTGGCTGACAATGGTATTCAACCACCTTGAATTAGGGTTTTAATCTCGAACTTGAATTGATTAAAAAGATGTCTTATGCATAAACTTCAGAAACACCTCCAGACATCTCACATCCAAGTGCAATCTCAATTGAGGTTTTGACTCCGAGATTGCATTTGGAAGTAAGATGTCTGGAGGTGTCAAGGCGAAGTGACCCATGAAATTTGAGACTGAGCAATCATAATATATGATAGTCGACGATGGTTGACAATGGTATTCAGCCACCTTGAATTGGGGTTGTAATTTCGAACTTGAATTGAATAAAAAGATGTCTTCTGCATAAACTTCAGAAACACCTCCAGACATCTCACTTCCAAGTGCAGTCTCAATTGAGGTTTTAACTCCGAGATTGCATTTGGAAGTGAGTTGTCTGGAGGTGTCAAGGCGAAGTGACCCGTGAAATTTAAGATCGAGTAATCATAATATACGATAGTCAAAATTGGCCGACAGTGGTATTCAACCACCTTGAATTAGGGTTGTAATCTCGAACTTGAATAGATTAAAAAGATGTCTTTTGCATAAACTTAAGAAACACCTCCATACATCTCACTTTCAAATGCAATCTCATTTGAGGTTTTGAATCCGATATTGTATTTGGAAGTGAGATGTCGAAGGTTTCAAGGCGAAGTGACCTACGAAATTTAAGACCGAACGATCATAATCCATGACAGTCGACGGTGACCAACAGTAGTGTTCAGTCTCATTCTGTTTTTATTTTATATTTTAAATTATTTTGTAGTAAATAATAATAATAAAATATCACATCATATTAAAATAATAATAAAATATTTTAAAATGATTAAAATGAGAATAATTCAAAAATTCAATAAATAAATTAAAAAAATAAAAAATTTAATAAGTAAAATATGAGAGAATATAATTCGGTGAGAAATTACGTAATTTACTTTTAAATAAAATAAACACCGAGTCTAAGAACGCTCACACGTGTTGGCAAAACGATTTCGCATTTGGCTGGTGGCTTAAAGATTCGAGCAACCCAGGATTTCGAAGGCAGATCCGACTCTACCGCCGACCAACAGTCACCGGAATCGGTAACTTTAGGTTGTAAAGAAAAGTTTCAACTTTTGACCGTTTTCAGTATGATATTTTAAGTAATTGATTAGATATTTGAGTTCAATCTTATTTTCAATGTTAAAAAATTATGGATTTTACTTTTTTGTTGTTGTTGTAGATTTTGGGTAGTAAATATTGGGTTTTAGGGATTGTAGTTGTTAGGGTTTATATACCTCTATTATTGTTGTTTCCCCCGTGTAGATTTAGAATTTTTTGTTTAATTTCATCTGTTTATATTTTCGAGCTTTTTTTTTTCTTTTTAAAATTGTTTCATTTACAATGTTATTGGAATTAACATGTTTATCGAGAGCTATTGAATACCAATTTGAATTCTGAAATATTTTTTTGTATTTTTTTCTGAATTGTATGATCTGGTGTTGGATTCAGATAAGAGAAGATGAATGGAGAAGTCCCCAACATAAAGAAATGGGTGGTTTTCTATCCTGTTTATATTAATTCGAAGAAAACGGTAGCTGAGGGAAGGCGAATCAGCTTGGCTAAAGCTTGTGAAAATCCCACCTGTGTTGAAATCGCTGATTGCTGCAACCATCTCAAAGTTCCGAATGCCATCGAGGTTCATTCTTGTGTGATTGTGGTGTCATTGTGGAAAAGTGGGGAAAATGATACTGAATCTAATGTGAACTTTTTGCCTGATTAGAATCTTAGGTTTCAAGTAACTTGCTAAATAATTCCATCAGCAGTGATAGAAATATGTTGTGGATAGCAACAAGTATATGCATTTCCTTCCGTGACAATTGAAACAAATGAAAAGCTCACTTAACCCTTGTTGCTTTCTATCATTGCTTCCATCTGCCCCTTTCCGGATATCTACCTCATAAATGGACATTTAGGACTTACTATTATCCATTTGTTCTTGCTGGTACTATGAAGGGCGAATCAAAATTAACCGAGGGCTGTCACCACAGTTGTTTATCGGCTCCTTTGTGGATTTAAAATTCTTATGGTCTCTGAATGCCACAAGCATGGTTTTTAGGTTTTTCGTGCACTGCTTTCTGCCTTATCCATTCAAGGGTCCATGCATATGGCTGGGTCTAGACATGCAGTGTTTTACCTTATCCATTGTTGATTTCTACCTTTGCTTGTGCCCTTTTTACGAAATCTATCTTTAGTTGGACGATTAGCACTCGCTGTTACTGTCCATGTCTTTTGTAGACTTTGTTTCTCTAGCCACCAATTTATTCGCTGAATCGTTTTGGCAATCCTATGAAAATAACCATTTGCCTAACGTCTAGGAACTTGGGGAGTTCGAACGTTTACGGAAAATGACTTATTTATCTCATTCTTGTTACACGCTTCATCGAACTTTTACACGATCAGCTGTTTGAACAAACTGGTTCTTTCTGTTTGTTGTTTAACCGCGTTAGAGGTGATTTTTGCAGATTGACAAGGCATATCCTCGCGATTTCATGCAAAGAGGGAGAGTGAGGGTCCAGTTGAAAAAGGAGGATGGGACTTTATGCAATCCAGCCATTCCTTCAAGTAAGTATAGTTTTTTTAAAATAATTCTACTGCCAGTTTTGAGCTTGAGAATAAATAATCGAACTCTTTGGGAAAAAACTGTTGGAAATAAAACACTCACACAAACAACTTTTATTGAAACTCAAACAAATATTACAAGAGTACTCTCACTCAAAAACAAGAACTACAACTCACTCTTATAAGACTTTGCTTCTTCACTCACTTAGAAGCTCTTAATTTTTCTTGATGCTTAAAACTAAAATGGGAAGGGGTATTTATACTACTCAAGAACAATCCTACACCACACAAATAAACTAATTTAAACCATTACAAATTCAACAAATATCTAACTCTCACCTAACTAAATTGATGTAAGCAATGACATCATTAATTAAATGATGTAAGCAATGACATCTTTAATTAAATGATGTAAGTAATGACATCAATTTAGTTTGGGTTTGGGTTTAGGCTCCCATAATGGATCAAGTTTATGATCCAACACCCTCCCTTAAACTTGATCTCGTGACCCCTAGTAGGTTCCTTAATCTTAAGAAGTCTTCGCTGGTCAGAGGCTTGGTAAAAATATCAGCAACTTGATCTTGTGACTTCACATATTCAACTTCCACATCTTTTCTTGCAACACACTCCCTTATATAGTGGTAGCGAATATCAATGTGCTTGCTTCGATCATGGAATACTGGATTCTTCGCTAAGGCAATGGCTGACTTGTTGTCGACACAAACCTTGGTAGGCTCTTCTTGTATCAAACCAATCTCCTTCAATAGATTTCTAAGCCAAATTGCATGACAAACACATGAGGTAGCAGCAACATATTCCGCTTCACAAGTGGATAATGTGACAATCGGTTGTTTTTTTGACATCCATGTGAATGCAATATCTCCCATGAAAAATACGAATCCAGTAGTGCTCCTTCGATTATCTATGTCTCCACCCCAATCACTGTCGCTATATCCAACAAGCTTGTAATCATTAGAAACTGAATAGAACAAGCCAAAGTCAATTGTACCTTTCAGATAGCGAAGAATTCTCTTTGCGGCTTTAAAATGGGTGGTTGTTGGGGATTCCATGTAGCGACTAACCAATCCAACTGCGTGAAGAATATCGGGTCTCGTGCAAGTTAGATAGCGTAGACTTCCTACCAAACTTTTGAAGAATGTTGGATCTACACTTTCGCCTTCTTCATGTTTGGTCATCTTGATCCCGTATTCTGCCGGTGTGCTTATTGGCTTACAGTTCTCCATCTTGAACTTCTTCAGTATCTCCTTTGCATAGCTTTCCTGTGAAATGAAAATTCCATCATTTTGTTGCTTAACTTCAATGCCAAGGTAGTACGCCATGAGCCCCATGTCTGTCATCTCGAATTCTTTCATCATCACATCCTTGAATTCATTAAACATGCTTGGGTTGCTTCCAGTGAAGATCAAATCGTCCACGTAGAGGCACACGATCAAAATATCTTCATCTTTGATCTTGATATATAGAGCATGCTCGTAGGGACATTTGTTGAAGCCATTCTCTTGGAAGTACTTGTCGATTCGGCTATTCCATGCCCTTGGTGCTTGTTTTAGCCCGTAAAGAGTCTTCTTCAACTTCAACACCTTGTCTTCATGCCCTTTGACTTCATAGCCTGATGGTTGCTGAATGTAAAGTTCCTCTTCAAGAACTCCATTTAGGAAGGCGGACTTTACATCCATCTGTTGTATCTTCCACTTGTTTTGAGCTGCCAAAGAAATGATTAGTCTGATAGTCTCCAATCGAGCAACAGGAGCAAATACCTCATCATAGTCAATTCCAGCCTTTTGACTATAGCCTTTAGCAACTAGCCTCGCCTTGTGCCTTTCAATCTCTCCTTTGGCGTTTTGCTTTGTTTTGTACACCCATTTGACACCTATCGCCTTATGTCCCTTGGGAAGTGAGGTAAGTTCCCATGTGTCATTCTTCTCGATGGCCTTGATTTCTTCGTCCATCGCATCTCTCCATTTCTTTTCTTGTACCGCTTCTTGAAAGCTCACTGGTTCACAATCGGCAAACAGACAAAATAATGTAAGATTATCTTGTCGTTCAGTTACCTCATAGAGATCTCTAAGGCTTCTTGTGCGTTGCATAACTCTTTCACTTTGACTCCCACTTGACGATGATGAAGGTGATGAGTCTCCTTGAGTGGTTGATGTTGGTGAAGTGGGTGGAGTTTCAAGCTCTTGTTGAGATTCATCTAGTTGCTCCCTCATTGTCTGCTCATCTTCTTCAAACTGAGGAAAGAAATTGAAGTCATCTGTATGGGAGTTAAAATCCCATTCTCCTTCTTCGTTGAAGACCACATCTCGACTAATCACAAACTTCTTATTGTCTGGATTGTACAACTTGTAGCCCTTCGAATTAGCATCATAGCCGATGAAGATAAAACTCTCGCTTTTATCATCAAGCTTCGTTCTTCTCTCGTCTGGTACGTGAACATGGGCTATACTTCCAAAGGTTCTCAAGTGGGAAATGCCAGGCTTTCTTCCACTCCATGCCTCTTGCGGTGTCTTTCCCCATACACTTCTTGTTGGAGATCGATTTGACAAGTAGACTGCACACGATACTGCTTCCGCCCAAAATTCTTTGGGTAGTTTCTTGCTTTTGAGCATGCTTCGTGCCATGTCGAGGATTGTTCTATTCTTTCTTTCTGCCACACCATTTTGCTGGGGGGATCTAGGAACTGTCATTGGTCGACGAATTCCATTTGCTTCACAGAACTCTTGAAACTCCCTGGAAGTAAATTCTCCACCTCGATCGGATCTCATGGCTTTGATCTTTCTACCACTTTCTCTCTCCACTGCTGCTTTGAACTTCTTGAATACTTCAAAAACTTCTGACTTCTGTTTCAAGAAATATACCCAGGTTTTTCTTGAAAAATCATCAATGAAGAGAAGAAAATAGTTATTGTTACCGAGAGAACTTGGCTTGATCGGTCCACACACATCGGTATGGATGAGCTCAAGTGGCTTCTTAGCTCTTGTCTCTGACTCCTTTGGAAAGCTTTTCCTGAATTGTTTTCCGACTAGACACCCTTCACAGAGTTGGTCAGGATGGTTGATGTGAGGTAGTCCTTTCACCATCTCCTTCTTAGATAATAGCTCTAGACCTCCAAAATTGAGATGCCCAAATCGAAGATGCCAAAGCCATGATGCATCTTTGTAGCAAGCTTTCAGGCACTTTGCAACATCATTTTGTATGTTGATCAAGAACATTCTATTCTTTGACATCGGCACTTTAGCAATGAAGTTATTCTTATCATCTTTTATAGAAAGATTATAATTATTCATATGAATATCATAACCTTTCTCTACCAGTTGCCCTAAACTTAAAATGTTACTTTTCATATTGGGCACATAGTAGACATTTGAAATAAATTGATGTCTCCCATCTTTCAAACGGATAAGAATGTTACCTCTCCCTTTCACTGCTATTGTGGAATCATCTCCAAACGAAACATTTCCACTTACTGACTCGTCTAGCTTCACAAACATGTCTTTCCTTCCACACATGTGATTGCTTGCACCACTGTCAAGATACCAGGAATTTGCTTGGCCACCATCAGTTTCCTTTCGTGCTAGAAGAAGAGTTTCTTTGCCATCTGTCTTTTCCTCCACGTAATTGACCTTCTCCTCAATTTTGTTGTTGGGAGCTCTACATTCTGAAGCATAATGCCCAAATTTTTGACAATTATAACATCGAATTTGAGATTTGTCATACTTTGAGTTTGGATTAATTCTTCCACGGCCTCGTGTTGAGCTTTCTCCTTTCTCATAGTTGTTGTTGGAATTGTTATTGTTGTAATTCCAGCCTCGTCCACGACCTCGACTTCCACCTCGTCCATGGCCTCTACCTCTGCCTTGGCCACGTTGGTTTCTATCATTGTGTTGGCTCTCATGAATATCCTTGAGTTGCAGCTTGAGGAGTTGCTCAGTAAACTCATGCTTCTTTTTATGCTTCTCTTCGTATGCTTGCAATGATCCTTGGAGCTGTTCGATCTTCATTTCTTCCAAGTCTTTAGTTTCTTCAATCGTCACGACGATGTGCTCAAATTTGGGATCCAACGAACGGAGTATCTTCTCTATTATCCTCACATCGTCTAACTTTTCACCATTTCTTTTTAATTGATTAGAAACAGCTACTACTCTTGAGAAATAATCTGAAATAGACTCAGATGCTTTCATGTTTAAGGATTCGAATTCACCTCTTAATGTTTGGAGACGAACCTTCTTCACTTGCTCGGATCCTTTGTAAGAGGTTTGCAGCTTCTCCCACGCTTCCTTGCTAGAGCTTGCACTTGAAATCTTTTCAAAACCATCATCATCTAATGCTTGATAGATGAGGTAGAGAGCCTTCTTGTCTCTCTTTCTTGAATCCTTCAAAGTTGTCTTTTGATCTGGTGTAAGAGTAGCAAAAACATCATCATCCGCAGGCTCATTATAGCCTTTCTCTATGATATCCCACACATCTTGTGATCCAAGAAGTGCCTTCATTTTGATACTCCAATTGTCGTAGTTGTTGTTGTTGAGTGTCGGAACTTGGAATGGTGCCATACCATTTGCCATATCTCTCAATATAATGAGATTTTGTAAAATCCGATTGCAGGGATGAATCCGGAACGATGAAAAAAAACTTTGGAGGGACTTGGACAACTCGGTCAAGGGCTCCAACTCGGCTGAATCGGCTCAACTCGGTGAGTCAACTCGATTTTTTTTGGCAGCAGTCTTCCGGCGGTGCGTGGCGGTGCGTCAGAACTCAGATTGAGAAAATTCTGGCGGCGTCGTATTCCTCTTGTCGAGACCTTCGATCTTTCCAACTCTCTCTGATGCCACTATGTTGGAAATAAAACACTCACACAAACAACTTTTATTGAAACTCAAACAAATATTACAAGAGTACTCTCACTCAAAAACAAGAACTACAACTCACTCTTATAAGACTTTGCTTCTTCACTCACTTAGAAGCTCTTAATTTTTCTTGATGCTTAAAACTAAAATGGGAAGGGGTATTTATACTACTCAAGAACAATCCTACACCACACAAATAAACTAATTTAAACCATTACAAATTCAACAAATATCTAACTCTCACCTAACTAAATTGATGTAAGCAATGACATCATTAATTAAATGATGTAAGCAATGACATCTTTAATTAAATGATGTAAGTAATGACATCAATTTAGTTTGGGTTTGGGTTTAGGCTCCCATAATGGATCAAGTTTATGATCCAACAAAAACACCCTATTTCCGTAATAACACGAGTTATTTGATTGTGTAAAAGCACTTTCAGTCTTTAATTTCGCAAAATTCGATTATGAATGGAGAAGAAAAAGAACAGTGCTGGGATGAACTATACAGGGAACCTAAAACACAGAATTCCTCTATCAAAGACCAATAGTTCCATACTTTGTCTTGTTGCAGGGAAACAGCTGATGTTCCAAGTCGCGGAGTTGGTACCTAGACATCCGGGGAGGGGTAAGAAGCAGGAAGCTCCGATGACATCAAGTACTGCTGTATCTTCCAAGTCCGGGAAGGGTGGAAGAAAAAAGCGATAGCTCCGTTACTCCCCAAAACAACAGATCATGGTTTTTCTTGGAACACTTTTAGTTTTGCCATTGAACTAAACATCTTCATATGGTTTACCTTTTCATTTCTGTTTATCTGAGTGAGCTTCGGAGTCTATGTTTACAAACGAATTCCCTTGGGTTCTTGATAGGGTTTAATCATTGAATCCTTTAATTTTATTGAACTTTATAGGTTTTGTTTCTCAAATGCAGCTCCCAGGGTATATGCTTGTTAAATTAAGGCTTAATTGGTTAATTTTTAAGGATAAAGTACACAAATGATCCCTGACTATAGGGTATTGCTTTATTAAGTCATTTGGTTTTTAAAAGTTATAAAATGGTCATTTAATTATTCATTATATTACAAACTCATCATTTTTAGTTAAAAAATTGGCAGTGGTCTATGTTGGACGTTAACATGATGATTGAGATATGATAGTAGTTTGAAATTCTAAGATCAAATTTTATCATATCACAGTTAGTAGGTTAACGTTCATATCAGAATATCGTCATTTTTTTAATAAAAAAGGACGAGTTTGGAATATAATGAATAATCGGGTTATCATTTTATAACTTTTAATAGTCGAGGGACTCAATAAAGCAACATTCTATAATTGAAAGATAATTTTGTAACTTTTAATAGTCGAGGGATTTAATAAAACACTATTCTAGTTAGGGGATCATTTGTGTACTTTATCTTTTTTAAATTATGACATAATTTTAGTCTAAATTGACCTCGTGGAATTTTTATTATTTTAGTCTAAATTGACCTCGTGGAATTTTTATTATTATAGTTTAATTTTGATATTTGTGGTATTTTTTGATGAATTGACTTTGGATTCACATTCAGACTAAATAGGAGCTAACTGAAAATTTTGGATCGTCAACGATCGATGAAAGTGACCCGGTGACTAACGTTGGGGGAATTTGATCAAATCCATGAGTTTATCAAAAGGTCACGGGTCAAATTGATATTTTGTTTGAAGTTTAATGGTCAAATTAATATTTTATGTATAGTTGGATGGTAAAATGAAAAAAAATAATCTCTTTTATTAATTTTGAACTGATCAAAATATTGTAAATTGATAATATAAGATATTAAAATGATATAAATAGATAACGTAAATGATTAAAATATTTTTTTTAAATTTGATGACGAAAAATATACACTTACATAATTAGAATTTTAATTTGGTCCGTCATATTCGGGCGCGCCTAGGCGCGAGGCGCAGCCAGACACTGAAGATGGCGCTCGCCTCGATTGAGGCGAGGCGAGATACAAGAGACGCGTGACTCCGGGCTTTAGGCGCCGGACGCAACACCTAGGAGCTTCTGAGATTAAAACCCTAACTTTCAAAATCCGTCTTTGGTTGAACCCTTTGGTGGTGACTAGTAATCACTGGTTAGGGTTTATCTCTTTTAATCAACATTTTGATAAAGGAAAGGAGAGGAAAGGAATATAGGGGTATTGAAATAGTAGTGAAGAAGATGAAAGCAATATTTGAAACACTACTATCAAATGAATTTTATAGTGAAGAGTGATGAGGTTAACAGCTATAATGCATGGATAGATGTGCTGCATTTAACAGCAAGATAATGCATTGAATTAGACATGCTGCATTTAACAATAGGATTAAATTCATTGAATTAGACGAGGAACTAGCTCTCATCTCTATTTTGACTGATGCATGCATCTAACTGTATAGAAGGAGAAACGACACTTGAAAAGAACAAAAAAAAGAGATAGCTAGGTTGAGCAAAATAGTCACTCTTCCATTATAATTATCAGTAAATTACAGAATAATCTCTCTTCAGTAGTAAAAAAAAGTGTTGTTCTCTCTAAGAAATTCAAGTTTGAGTAGTTGTGTTTGCACTATAAAGTATTAGTGTGGTCAAAATATTAGTTTGATTTATATTATATTGTACAAATGATGCGCCTCGCATGCGAAAGGCACGCGCATGCGCCTTGCGCCCTTAAAACCAAGACGAAGACTTAAAAACTCTAGGAAAATTTGGAAAGACGACGGACTCAGACCATGTCTGACTCTCAAACCCGAGTCTAATTACCACATATTAGTTTTTAGTTCCCTTCAAACATGGAACATTGTAGCCCTACTAGCAATCAATGATTCTTAGTAGCATTTTTAGGTAGAACGACTGCTAGGATTCGTGTAGTTTCGGATTTTTGACATTTCAAACTACTCTTTTTCTCTTTGAGATAGCAAATGGTCTAATAGATTCATGGTGCAGTTTCGGTTTAACATCGTCGTACATGCGAACATCCATTTGACTTCTTATTCTCCTCGACGATTCAGGAAGCTAGTGCCTACGCTCAAGAGAATGGCCTTTTCTTCATGGAAACTTCTGCGAAGACTGCGTCCAATGTCAACGACATTTTCTACGAAATAGGTAAGTTTTAAATTTGTTGGTTCGTTTAATGACTCGGCATTCGACTAATGTTTTCCCTCCGACAGTAAAAGATTACCTCGAGTGCAACCGGGACAAAACCCTGCTGGAATGGTCCTGATGGATAGAGCTGCACAACGGACAGTAAGCGCATCTTGTTGCTCGTAGACGGAGGCGTGTATCTTATAAGTAGCTCGTGCTCTGCGACCAAAAGCTCTATCTTTCCTTACTATATACACTCGATAACAACCTGTTCATTGTGCTGGAGATTGATGTTCTTTGTGTAATTATAGTGTGCTATTTTCATGTTTCACTTCTGTAGTTCTATGTTTTAAATAAGGCTTAATATAAAAAAATAAACAAGTGCCCAAACTAAAACAAGTGTCCAAACTATACCGTCTGTTTTCAAAGTGGTGTTTGAACTTCTTTTCCGGTCAATTCAGTTGTCTAACGTTACAAACATCATTACTTTTGGTGCCTCGATTACGTTAAATGGCATGTGTCATGTTATGATAATTTAGAAAAATTTTATTTAAAATAAAAAAACTTTAAAATATAATTTCTTTAAAAACCAGACTTTTTGGAGTTCTTAAAAAATTCCAAAACTTTGATAACCTTTATTCTAATTTTGATTTTCACGTCAGTCATCGTCATTTGTCGTTGTTGTTGTTGGACTCCCACTTGATCAAACCTCTAACCGAGGATAAGATGATTTTGGCCACCAAGAACCCAGAACTCGATGATTCTTGACATTTAAAAAAGTTTAAAAAATAACAACATTTACGCGATCTGACGAACCCAATGATAAAGTCAAAGTCAGGGACGACCAACAAGGAAGGTGGTAAGTTCTGCAGTGATGTCGGTGGTCATGGCCGGCAAAGGAGATAAGGTAATGGTTACGGATTTGGGATTTTTAGGAATTTTTAGGATCATCGGTCTTCCTTTTGACAAGTGGAGGGGTCTCCGAGTTGTAGTTGAAATTGGAGTTGCTTGTTGCACCTTCGTGATAAGGCTGCTAATATTTAAAGGTTCCCTGATTCTAATTGCTATTCGACTGGTTGGATTTGGGTATTGTTGTTAATATTAAAGAGGTCGTTAGATTGAAACTAGTTAGTGTGAAAGTAAGTTGGGGGATTGATATAGGAGAATTTGTTCAAACTGGGACCTTGAGGATTGATTGTGTCCTGAGGTTCTCTACCTCTTGTATTGTTGTTTCTTTTGAATTTATACTACATAAGGATCTATTCATCGAAAAAAATATAATAATATTTTTATTTTTTAAAAATAAAATTCTTAAAATTATTTGAATGCGATGTGTGCTATTTAACGAGTTTTTTAATAGTTGTACCTGTCCATATCCGCCAATTTGAGATAGGAGAAACGTCGGTCTTCAATTTTAAAAATGTTTATAGTACTCTAACATTTAGTTAAATTGCAAGTTATGTCCTAAAAAATCTTAAGATTTATAAAATAATATCTGAAATTATAATTAAATTCGTAATGATCCAAAATTTACATGTGTTGGATCATAAACTTGATCCATTATGAGAACCCAAACCCAAACCCAAACCCACACCTAAACTAAATTGATGTAAGCAATGACATCTTCCCCTAATTGATGTAAGCAATGACATCAATTTAGTTAGGTGAAAGTTAGGTATGTCTTATGTGGTGTATGATTGTTTGGAATAATTTATTTGTAAGGTGTAGGATAGTTCTTGAGTAGTATAAATACCCCTCCCCATTTTAGTTTAAGCATCAAGAAAAATTAAGAGCTTCTAAGTGAGTGAAGAAGCAAAGTCTTATAAGAGTGAGTTGTAGTTATTGTTTTTGAGTGAGAGTGCTCTTGTAATATTTGTTTGAGTTTAAATAAAAGTTGTTTGTGTGAGTGTTTTATTTCCAACAAAGTGGCATCAGAGCGAGTTGGAAAGATCGAAGGTCTCGACGAGAGAAATCTGACGCCGTCAGAATTTTCTCAATCTGAGTGACGCACCGCCACGCACTGCCGGAAGACTGCTGTCAGAAAATCAAGTCATTATATTGAGAGATATGGCAAATGGTATGGCACTATTCCAAGTTCCGACACTCAACAACAACAACTACGACAATTGGAGTATCAAAATGAAGGCACTTCTTGGATCAAAAGATGTGTGGGATATCATAGAGAAAGGCTATAATGAGATTGCAGATGATGTTTTTGCTACTCTTACACAAGATCAAAAGACAAATTTGAAGGATTCAAGAAAGAGAGACAAGAAGGCTCTCTACCTCATCTATCAAGCATTAGATGATGATGGTTTTGAAAAGATTTCGAGTGCAAGCTCTAGCAAGGAAGCGTGGGAGAAGCCGCAAACCTCTTACAAAGGATCCGAACAAGTGAAGAAGGTTCGTCTCCAAACATTAAGAGGTGAATTCGAATCCTTACACATGAAAGCATCCGAGTCTATTTTAGATTATTTCTCAAGAGTAGTAGCTGTTTCTAATCAATTAAAAAGAAATGGTGAAAAGATAGAAGATGTGAGGATAATAGAGAAGATACTCCGTTCGTTGGATCCTAAATTTGAGCACATCGTCGTGACGATTGAAGAAACTAAAGACTTGGAAGAAATGACGATCGAACAACTCCAAGGATCATTGCAAGCATATGAAGAGAAGCATAAGAAGAAGCATGAGTTTAATGAGCAACTCCTCAAGCTGCAACTCAAGGATATGCATGAAAGCCAACGCAATGATAGAAACCAACGTGGCCAAGGAAGATGTAGAGACCATGGACGAGGTGGAAGTCGAGGTCGTGGACGAGGCTGGAATTACAACAACAACAACAATTCCAACAACAACTATGAGAAAGGAGAAAGTTCAACACGAGGTCGTGGAAGAATCAATCCGAACTCAAGGCATGATAAATCTCAAGTTCGATGTTATAATTGTAAGAAGTTTGGGCATTATGCTTCAGAATGTAGAGCTCCCGACAACAAAATTGAGGAGAAGGCCAACTACGTGGAGGAAAAGATAGAGGGCAAAGAAACTCTTCTTCTAGCACGAAAGGAAACTGATGGTGTCCAAGCAAATTCCTGGTATCTTGACAGTGGTGCAAGCAATCACATGTGTGGAAGGAAAGACATGTTCGTGGAGCTAGACGAGTCAATAAGCGAAAATGTTTCGTTTGGAGATGATTCCACAATAGCAGTGAAAGGGAGAGGTAACATTCTTATCCGTTTGAAAGATGAGAGACATCAATTTATTTCAAATGTCTACTATGTGCCCAATATGAAAAGTAATATCTTAAGTTTAGGGCAACTGGTAGAGAAAGGTTATGATATTCATATGAATAATTATAACCTTTCTATAAAAGATGATAAGAATAACTTCATTGCTAAAGTGCCGATGTCAAAGAATAGAATGTTCTTGATCAACATTCAAAATGATGTTGCAAAGTGCCTGAAAGCTTGCTACAAAGATTCATCATGGCTTTGGCATCTTCGATTCGGGCATCTCAATTTTGGAGGTATAGAGCTACTATCTAAGAAGGAGATGGTGAAGGGACTACCTTGCATCAACCATCCTGACCAGCTTTGTGAAGGGTGTCTAGTCGGGAAACAATTCAGGAAAAGTTTTCCAAAGGAGTCAGAGACAAGAGCCAAGAAGCCACTCGAGCTCATCCATACTGATGTGTGTGGACCGATCAAGCCGAGCTCTCTCGGTAACAGTAACTATTTTCTTCTCTTCATTGATGATTTTTCAAGAAAAACCTGGGTATATTTCTTGAAACAGAAGTCAGAAGTTTTCGAAGTCTTCAAGAAGTTCAAAGCAGCAGTGGAAAGAGAAAGCGGTAGAAAGATCAAAGCCATGAGATCCGACCGAGGTGGAGAATTTACTTCCAAGGAGTTTCAAGAGTTTTGTGAAGCAAATGGAATTCGTCGACCAATGACAGTTCCTAGATCCCCCCAGCAAAATGGTGTGGCAGAAAGAAAGAATAGAATAATCCTCGACATGGCACGAAGCATGCTCAAAAGCAAGAAACTACCCAAAGAATTTTGGGCGGAAGCAGTAGCGTGTGTAGTCTACTTGTCAAACCGATCTCCAACAAGAAGTGTATGGGGAAAGACACCACAAGAGGCATGGAGTGGAAGAAAGCCTGGCATTTCTCACTTGAGAATCTTTGGAAGTATAGCCCATTTTCACGTACCGGACGTGAGAAGAACGAAGCTTGATGATAAAAGCGAGAGTTTTATCTTCATCGGTTATGATGCTAATTCAAAAGGCTACAAGCTATACAATCCAGACAAAAAGAAGATTGTGATTAGTCGAGATGTGATCTTCAACGAAGAAGGAGAATGGGATTTTAACTCTCATACAGACGACTTCAATTTCTTTCCTCAGTTTGAAGAAGATGAGCAGACAATGAGGGAACAACTAGGTGAACCTCAACAAGAGCTTGAAACTCCACCCACTTCACCAACATCAACCACTCAAGGAGACTCATCACCTTCGTCATTTTCAAGTGGGAGTCAAAGTGAAAGAGTTGTGCAACGTACAAGAAGCCTTAGAGATCTCTATGAGGTAACTGAACGACAAGATAATCTTACATTATTTTGTCTGTTTACCGATTGTGAACCAGTGAGCTTTCAAGAAGCAATACAAGAAAAAAAGTGGAGAGATGCGATGGACGAAGAAATCAAGGCCATCGAGAACAATGACACATGGGAACTTATCTCACTTCCCAAGGGACATAAGGCGATAGGTGTCAAATGGGTGTACAAAACAAAGCAAAATGCCAAAGGAGAGATTGAAAGGAACAAGGCGAGGCTAGTTGCTAAAGGCTATAGTCAAAAGCCTGGAATTGACTATGATGAGGTATTTGCTCCTGTTGCTCGATTGGAGACTATTAGATTAATCATTTCTTTGGCAGCTCAAAACAAGTGGAAGATACAACAGATGGATGTAAAGTCTGCCTTCTTAAATGGAGTTCTTGAAGAGGAAGTCTACATTCAACAACCATCAGGCTACGAAGTCAAAGGGCACGAAGACAAGGTGTTGAAATTGAAGAAGGCTCTTTACGGGCTAAAACAAGCACCAAGGGCATGGAATAGCCGAATCGACAAGTACTTCCAAGAAAATGGCTTCAACAAATGTCCCTACGAGCACGCTCTATATATCAAGATCAAAGATGAAGATATTCTGATCGTGTGCATCTACGTGGACGATTTGATCTTCACCGGAAGCAACCCAAGCATGTTTAATGAATTCAAGGATGTGATGATGAAGGAATTCGAGATGAAAGACATGGGGCTCATGGCGTACTACCTTGGCATTGAAGTTAAGCAACAAAAGGATGGAATTTTCATTTCACAAGAAAGCTATGCAAAGGAGATCCTGAAGAAGTTCAAGATGGAGAACTGTAAGCAAATAAGCACACCGACAGAATATGGGATCAATATGTCCAAACATGAAGAAGGAGAAAGTGTAGATCCAACGTTCTTCAAAAGTTTGGTGGGAAGTCTACGTTATCTAACTTGCACGAGGCCTGATATTCTTCACGCAGTTGGATTGGTTAGTCGCTACATGGAATCTCCAACAACCACCCATTTTAAAGCCGCAAAGAGAATTCTTCGCTATCTGAAAGGTACAATTGACTTTGGCTTGTTCTATTCAGTTTCTAATGATTACAAGCTTGTTGGATATAGCGATAGTGATTGGGGTGGAGACATAGATAATCGAAGGAGCACTACTGGATTCGTATTTTTCATGGGAGATACTGCTTTCACATGGATGTCAAAGAAACAACCGATTGTCACATTGTCCACTTGTGAAGCGGAATATGTTGCTGCTACCTCATGCGTTTGTCATGCAATTTGGCTTAGAAATCTATTGAAAGATATAGGTTTGATACAAGAAGAGCCTACCAAGGTTTGTGTCGACAACAAGTCAGCCATTGCCTTAGCAAAGAATCCAGTATTCCATGATCGAAGCAAGCACATCGACATTCGCTACCACTATATAAGGGAGTGTGTTGTAAGAAAGGATGTGGAAGTTGAATACGTGAAGTCACAAGATCAAGTTGCCGATATTTTTACCAAGCCACTGACAAGCGAAGACTTCATAAGATTGAGGAACTTACTAGGGGTCACAAGATCAAGTTTAAGGGGGGGTGTTGGATCATAAACTTGATCCATTATGAGAACCCAAACCCACACCTAAACTAAATTGATGTAAGCAATGACATCTTCCCCTAATTGATGTAAGCAATGCCATCAATTTAGTTAGGTGAAAGTTATGTATGTCTTATGTGGTGTATGATTGTTTGGAATAATTTATTTGTAAGGTGTAGGATAGTTCTTGAGTAGTATAAATACCCCTCCTATTTTAGTTTAAGCATCAAGAAAAATTAAGAGCTTCTAAGTGAGTGAAGAAGCAAAGTCTTATAAGAGTGAGTTGTAGTTCTTGTTTTTGAGTGAGAGTGCTCTTGTAATATTTGTTTGAGTTTAAATAAAAGTTGTTTGTGTGAGTGTTTTATTTCCAACAACATGGTGGGTAGTTAGTGGGCGGGCAGATGCGGGACGGACGGATGCGAGACGAGCAAATACGGGACGGGTAAGATCTCAAACCCATCACCTACTCACTACCCATGATAGATATAACTTTTTACATTCACACATGCCCACTATCTACTAAATTTATATCCATCTTCTCCCCAATTGAAACTGAAACTGAAACGGATACGATGTAAAATCCACAAAATTATACCCATATGTTATCCCGGAATTATAACTTGAATTCGACCAAATAAACAAGATAACTAATATAAGAGAATAAATATTGACCGGAGAAATAACATCAAATTCAATAAGTACTTAATTTTGATTTTTTTTTTACATTTATTTCATATGATAATATAATTTTTATTTGATGCACTATAGTATATATTTTCATACATCGTCGTTAATAAGATGATGGCATGTCATCAAGAATTAACAAGTTGTCGGATATTGATCGGTGAAATATATTTAGGCCCGCCATCTAATAAATACTTTGCTCCGATTAAAACGGCCGATTCCGTCGGGTGGAACGGATCCCAGAAAACATACTTCGTCCGGTCGGGACAAACTCGAGACAGCGATATGCACGGGATCAGACCTCCGTGCCTCCCGATCACTTCACAACAAGCATAATCTGCGTTCTCAAATCCTGAAAAAAAGGGGGGGGGGAATCAAAATTCAAAGCTCGAATTTCAAAAACTTGAATGCAGAATTTCACCGTATGATCTATAGTTGTCGACGAGATCTTCCGTTAATGCGTAATAATCGACGTAAACGAATGTCGATCCCGTAAGTCTTCTCGTGAGATCTTCGAGCATACTCTTCAATCTAGTGTTGTATAACTTGGTTAGTGCGTTTAACAACGCCACGCAATCGTTGGCGCATAGATGCAGGTCGATCTCGAACGGCGTGCAACCGACTTTCGGGGCATTCGACACCGCAATCTTCCTAGCATCCAAGTTATAAAGTCTCTGCAATTCACATAGGCCGAAAATCGTTAAAGATCGGATCTCATTTAGGGGGTTTTTTCTAGAGTGAAGGCCGGGGAGGGTCATCAAAGAAAAGCCCTAATCGGCTTTCACTAAACGTATCGGAATTAAAATCGTATTTTCGAGTGAAATCGGCAAGAAGATCTAACTGTGAGCTGGGATTTGAATTTGGAAACTACTTCATCCACAAATTGGTTCATATAAAGAATTGAAGATTCTCCCATAAAGATATCATTGGAGCCAATTAAAAGAAAATAGAGTGAGTTTCTGAGCCATGCTTGAGCCGACGGCGCACCAATTCTTGATATAATGTCTTGCCTAGTCTTTGCAAAGTAATCCACTTGTGTGTCCATACATATTCGTTCACCCTGCAAAAAAATATATATATATATACTTTTTCACCAATTTTAGTTTGAAATCTTCCTAAAATTTTGGGTAAATTATGCATTGAGACCCTAAACCATCAATTTTGACCCATTTTAGTACCTAAGTTTAGGTACTAAAACAGACCAATTTGATAGTTTAGGTACTAAACACGTTAAGTTTTTAACGACGGGTACTAAAATGAAAAAAAAACTAAACTTTATGTATGGTTTTAAAAAAATTGAAAATTTAGATATTAAAACAGACCAAAATTGATAATTTAAATACTAAATTTGTAATATACCCAATATTCTAATAAAAAAGACTTAAGGTGTCATAAGCCTTCAAAATATTAAAAAAATCAATGAAGAACCTTTTTTCACCCAATTAAGTTTTTATATTCAAAAAATTTATCAATACACTCTTTTGACAAATGTTGATCGTCAAATATGAGCTATAGGGTGTTATTTTTGTTGAGTCTCTCGACTATCAAAAGTTATAAAATGATCCTCTAACTATAAGATATTGTTTTGTTGAGTCCTTCATCTATTAAAAGTTACAAAATGGTCACCTGACTATTTATTATATTTTAAACTTGTCATTTTCCGTTAAAAATGATGACAGTATGAGTTTAATATTAATTTGTTGTCTGAGATATGATAGTCGTTTGAGATTCTAAGATTTAATTTTATTATATCTCGTACAACAGATTAATATCCAGCTTAGATTGTCCTTACTTCTTTAATAGAAAAGAACGAATTTAGAACATAATAAATAGTTGAGCAACAAAATAATATCCTATAGTTGGGGACTATTTTGTAACTTTTGATAGTCGGGAGACTCAACAAAACAACACCTTATAATCGGGTAATCATTCGTGTAACGACATTAGAGTACAAGATCCCCGTAATAAACCTTTATTGTATTTGATTCGAACTAATTCAAACTAATTGATCAATAAATCGAACATTGATACTTATGTTAATCTTACCATGAATGATCCAGTGGACTGTAAAATTCCAGCCCCAGAGGAGGCATAGTTAACACCCTTCAAAATCAAATCTCCACTTGTATTAGGTGACAAGAAAGGGGGAGCATAATCTTTGAAACCAAGTTCTTCTCCTGTTTTAAACACAACATTAGAACCCGAAATGATTTAGATCGGGTCGGGTTTGGACAATCATAATAGAATGTCAATACTATACACGAGTCTAGCTCGAACTCGATCCAGCCTGATACATAAATATTCAATGGCATAACGAGTATGAGCAAGTGCTGACCCTAAAATAGCGATCATAAGTTCGTAACGTCACATTGTTATGATGGATTTATTAGAAGAATAAATAATTCGTAGAAACTTGCCTAAAACGTCGGTAATGATACGGGAGTTCGTGTATCGTCCGGACGGAGCGCCTTTTGGGAAGTCGATACCATTAGGAAACTGCGGCTTCGCCAACGTGTCGATGTAATAGTTGTTTCCGACTTCGACCAGCGAATCTCCGAAGACGAAAAATGCACTGACATTGTGGGCAAAACAGATGGTGGATGGCCATAAATGGATGGCTAAAATCTGATGCATTAAACAAATTATTATAAGCTTCTTTGAAAAGGTTCCCATTGGTTCCCTAATACGTATATGTATATGTATATTTGTATATATATATACACGTATATATGTTGATGATTTGCAGAGGTGGGTGGTTCCCTGGTTAGAAGGAAACTTGAAACCCTAATTATTAATAGGGATGGCAAGTAGCTAAAGCAAATTTCAATTTCAATTTCAAATTTGTAAATTTATTTATTTTTCGAATCGAATCGAAGTCTTATTATTCGAATTCAAATAGGAATTAATAAAATGATAAGTAATATAATTAGTTCAAGTAAATGATATTTAAAGATTAATATATGTTTCTTTTATGATTACGGTTCATTGACGATATATAATTTTATGCATGATCAATGAATAAAAAACGAGATATAGTACAAAAAAGGCAAAAGGATAATTTTGCTATTGTAGTAGACTCAATTTATCACTTTTGTCTCTATCGTATTTTCTCATCAATTTAGCTCTCTAAGTTGCTTAATTATACATTATATACCTTACCCACAACTTAAAACTCTAAATTATAAATCTTAAACCCTAAACCATATCTCCATAATCTCTAAACTCTAAATACTAAACAATTTATAATTCAGGGTTTTGAGTTAGGGGAAGGGTATATGGATTTGAAGAATTTGGAGGGTTAAATTGATACGAAAATATGATAGAGACGAAAATGATAAATTGGGTCTACTACAGTAGTAGAGGTGACCCTTAATCTTATAAAAATTTTAAATTTTTTGATGATATGTTATTTTCTTATTAATTGATATTACATAAAAAAAAGATGAAATTGTAACTTTTGCCCCTGTAGTAGAATCAATTTATCACTTTCGCACCTATCATATTTTCACATCAATCATATTTTCACATCAATTTAGCTCTCAAAGTTGCTCAATTGCACCATTCTATATGTTACCCCTAACTCAAAACCCTAAATTACAAACCCTAAATCATAACATTATAATCTCTAAACCATAAACCTAAACCTAAACCCAAACCCAAACCCTAACTTAGGATTTTAAGTTACGAGTGAAGTATAGAATGATGTAATTAAGAAATTTTGAGGGTTAAATTGATGCGGAATTACGATAAGAACGAAAATGAGTCAACTACATGAACAGGGACAAAAGTGACTTTTAAGCCCGTAAAAAATATATGCATATATATATATGCATTAGCACATTCAATATAAATTCAAATTTTAAATATGTAAAATCCTAATTAAGTAAATATAATCATATCCTATATAGCATGAAAAAAAAATCAAAAAGGCTCATAAATATTTTCTTTAATTATTATAGTTATGGTCCATGGCAAATAATATTGATGATATAGATTATACCGTGCCCCATTTCTTTGAAATTTCGGCTCATAGATCTGCGCCCCCTTTTAGGGTTTGATTTTCAGATTTATTTTTATTTAGATATTGATTCAAATATAAATTTAATATTCACTCGATTATTATTATAGTTATAAAATGATCACTCGTTATTAATTATGTTTCAAACTCGTTATTTTTCGTTAAAAATTCAACGATCATTTAAGTTGGACATTAACATGTTGACTAAGATATGATAGTCATTTGAGAATATAAGATCATATTTTATCATCTCAGTCAGCTGGTTATTGTACATCTCATATTGTTATCAAAATTTTCATGGAAAATGATAAGTTTGGAACATAATTAATAGTCAGATGATCATTTTTTAACTTTTAATAGCCAATGGACTCAACAAAGTAATTTCCTATAGTCAGAGGATCACTTTGTAACTTTTAATAATCAAAGAACTCCATAAAACATCATCCTATAGTCATGGGACCATTTGTGTACTTTACCCTTTTATTTATTTCAATTTAAAATAAACAAACTTACAAGTACAAATATTTTATTTAAATATAGGGATGTCAACAAGACGAGTTTCGCAAAGATCTGTCTCACTTCTACTTAATTTAGTGAAAATGTGAAGATGGATTCATGTTTTACGAGTGATAGAACGAGGATGAGATAAAAATTAAACCCATCGTGGATGGTGGAACATACATGAATATGATATTATACATGTCACATCCTTATTTAAATTGTAAGCTCGGTCTAACTCAAAGGTGTGGGTTTCAAATTTTATATAAACATACCCACATTTAATAAATATTTAACTAAAGCATGTTTAAGCATTTAATTTTAATTTTTGAAGGTTATAAATTATTATTTTTTATTAGCATTTAGTAATTTAATATTTTTTTATTAAAGTTGTAAACAAAACGACTTAACAGTAAGAAAAATGGAATTTTAATATTTTATTTTTAATTTTCATGGGAAGTAATTTAATATTCTTTTATTTTTACATTTATTCGAATGAAAACAAAATATATAAGCATAGGAGTGCATAAGTCATACATTATCGGTAAATAAGATGGTAAAACATTAACGTTAAGAATTAGCAAGTTGTCGGATATTGATGGGTGAAACATATTCACGACCACCATCTAATACATGCTTTGCCGCGATTAAAATCGCCGACTCCGTCGGGCGGTACGGATCCCAAAACACGAACTTGTTACGATCCGAGCAAACTGGAGACACTTGCATGCACGGAACCAGACCGCCGTGTCTCCCGATCACTTCGCAACAAGCGTAATCTACAGTCTCAAATCCTGGAAAAGAAAAAGAAACCAAACTCATTGACACTCCTAAATCCAAATTCAAAAGTCTATCGATGAATCTCACCATATGATCTAGCGTTGTTAATGATGTCTTCGGTTACCGCGTAATTATCGACGTAAACGAGCATCGTTCCCGTAAGATTGCTCGAAAGATCTTCGACCAGGCTCTTCAATTTCGAGTTTAACAACTTGGCGAAGTTATTTAATGAATCGACACAATTCTAGGCACATAAATGTGTATCGATCTCGAATGGAATGCAGCCGACTTTCGAGACCCCGACCACCGCAAACTTCCTAGCATCAATGGTATAAAGTCTCTGCGATTCACATAGATCAAAGATCGTTCGAGGTCGGATTTCGATTAGGACTTTCTCTCTTGAGTTGAACCAAATGAACATTTTGTTCAAATGAAAGCCTGAGAGGGTTTTCACTCGAAGAGGTCGAGATATTTACTCGGTGATTATACCGAGTAAACCTCTCGATCTGTACAATGAGATTTTATCGGAATTAACAATTCGTAAACTCGAGAACGACAAGATCTTACTGTGATCTGGGATTTGAAATTGGAAACTACTTCGTCTGTGTAAGTAATTCGATCAAGAGTTTCATATTCTCCGAATAGGATATCGTTGGCCCCAATTGAAAGAAAATAGAGTGAGCTTCTGAGTAATTCTTGAGCCGTTGGTTCACCAATTCTTGATATAATGTCTTGCCAAAGTAATCCAATTGTTTATCCATGCAAATTCTTTCACCCTACAAAAAGTATATACAAAAACTTTTGGTAAATTACGTGTTTAGTACCTAAACTATCAGTTTTGGCCTATTTTAGTACCTAAACTTTTAATTTTTCAAAACCATACCTAAAGTTTAGTTTTTGTTTCATTTTAGTACCTTGTTCAATAACGCTAAGTTTTGAAAAAATTGAGAGTCTAGGTACTAATTGTGTTAAGTTTTTAATAGTTGGGTACTAAAATGAAATAAAAACTAAACGTTAGGCATGGTTTTGAAAAAATTAAAAGTTTAGGTACTAAAACAAATCAAAAATGATAAATTAAGTACTAAATGCATAGTTTAGCCTAAAAAATTTGTGTCATTTAGATTCAGGTCAATTTCGGATTAAATATCATTTCAAGTACATGTCATTCGAATTTTCAAGCCAACTCGTTATATGTTAACGTCACTTCGAGTTTTGGTCACTCCAAGTTTGGGTCCATTCGGGTTCGGGTTGGACCGATTTTCATGTTTTTTCACTTTTCATGGTCAAATCTGATTAAATCTAGGGTAAACTATGCATTTAGTATCAAAATTATCAATTTTGTTGCGCTTTTGATATCATGTACGTTTTTCATCATGTATGTTTTTCGAGTCGAATAACTAGCGCAACAAATATCAATAGCAAAATGATGACCATAATATCACATTGTCTAGATACTACAATCACTTTTTTTAAAAAAAAAATCGTAGAAACTTGCGTATAACGTCTGTAACTATTCGGGAATTCGTATATCGTCCGGACGGAGTGCCTTTCGGGAAGTCGATACTATTAGGGAACTCGGGTTTAGCCAATGTGTCGATGTAAAAGTTGTTTCCGGCTTCGACCAGTGAATCTCTGAAGACAAAAAAATCAGCGGTATTCTGGGCTGAATAGACGGATAAAACCCGAAACAATATCGAAACCGTGACGATAAGCTTATTCGGAATGGTTCCCATGTGTTGAAGATCTGCACATGTGGTGTTTGGGGCCTTAATGATCAATTGAAGTTCTTCCAATGGTTTAAATAGTGATGCAGGCAAAGTGGTACCAATACGCAAACTTTTGAGTTTTACACTAATTTATTTTCTTTCTTCGACCCTCGAGAGATGATATCGAACTTATTTGAGGGTCGGAAATCCCTTCTGAAATTAAAAAAAGTTTATCAAGATTAAATCTTAAAATTATTTTTTGAAAGAAGCCGTTAATTTTATTAAAAATAGAAAATATAAAACAATATTAACTAAATAATGATAAATATATTTTTCTAAACACGAGAAAATTAAACACTTAAGATCACAAGGACCATACAAGGAAAAATGTTAAAAACCTAACAAAATAAACTCATATAAAAGGTAGATATCGATAAACAAACCATAAAATGGGATGAAGCTATTAAAATGCCACCAATAAATCGCAAATCATAATCGAGCGACGTGAAAATATTATCCACGAACGTAAATCGTGTATCCAAATCCAAAAGGAGGTTACAAAGCAGGAAAAATTAGTATGATAACAAATGAATCATCATATTGATCAATCGTGACGACATCAAATCCAACTTAAAAAAAATGACAAATGAAAATAACGGCTAAACAGTTGA